TTAATTAGAGGCATATTACTAGAACAGCATCATTACAATTTGCATAGCTGTTGTGTTGCGAAGAATCGTCATTAACTAAATATTGTATTCGCAGGAGATTTGTATATTTCAATGTAGACCATTGCAACAGACATTGTATACTTTAGTTCAAATATTGCTAACATTTTCAAATAGCATGCGGAAAATGTCATATACCGAGAATGTGCCCTGAGAGGGAAGAAAGAATTCGTCGCCTTTGATTGTCAAACATATGTTGAAGAAATCCATACATTTTTTAAACATCAATATTGGTAAAATGTTGAAAAGTCCTATTGAGGTTGTAATATCAATATAATATTGTTATATTGAGCTATATGAAAAAATAAATAAACTTAAGGGAAAATCATATAAACATGCAATAACGCATGATGGCAATTGCAGAACATATTATTTAATATTTCGCCCAGCTATTATCTTTCACAGAAAAAGTAATCTTGTCGCTGGTGGCTAATCAACAACTGTCTACTGTTACACAGAGTCAGCTACCATTTATTATTGTTTATGCTCGCCAAATTTCGCCAAGAACCAAAGATGACTTGGAAATTGTGTACATTCCGCGAATATGAAATGACACGCAACGTCCATGGGATAAATGGTCCCTTTTTTCGAAGCAAAATGTGTACTGGCAACCATTAATCATAGACCAAAATGAAATGGATGTGCTAAAGCATCACGTCTCACTCGATATTTTGTCGAAGAGTTTTTACACTATTTCTCTCTCACACATAAACACAAAAAACATATTCACATGGTGTTTATTTTCATGACAACAGCAACGAAATAAAAACACTTCTCCATCTTCCTTTCTACATGCAAAATAAGTACAAATATGTGTATGCGAATGTTTGCACACATTCATATTTTAAATGCTTAACAACAAATACAGTATTGCAGAAAGAGAGAGAGAGAGAGACCGAATGTTCTAACACAATTTATGTTCAACAATTATTATTTTTTGAAAGACCATTTAAGTGATTTACCGTTAAATGCAAATTATTTTATTGTGATCATTTTATCTCATACAGACGGCAGCATATTTCATCTTACCTACAATTATTTTAACTGTCATACCACCACATTTGTCATTATTGAAATATTTATTGCATGTTGAAGAACGTGGTAAATATATACAAATTCACCTTCTGGTGAATATTACTATTCTAAACTAAAGTGCACTGATGTAACCTCCTTTATGATGAAATAATATATTCGAATGATTCAATCTTTGCTGGGGAAAATACCTACCAACTACCATTCACAATGACGACTTTCAAATTACATTTTCCATAATATTATGTTTCCACTGTCCATCATACTAAGCACCACGAACAATTTAATTTATGCGTTCTTATTTCACGTGTTCTTTTGTGCACACATTTCAATTCAATATATCTGTGTGCTTATACTCCGAAAGCGGTCCTCAAAAGTCATTCATTGCAGTAATGTTTTGTCCAGAAAAAATACACATTTTCTACCACTGAACCGAACCTTTCTCAAACAAATAATAATTTTATTTCCTTTAATGGAAAATGTAAATCAAAATATCAAATCATAAATCACAACATAAATCCTTTTTAAGACAGCATACGTTTTTACCCTGCTCAAGTGTGGTTTGAAAAGCTAGTCGTAGGGTGGGAGGTAAAGAAAGACCGATTATGTTTTTTTTTTATATCTTATTTCCATCACATATTCAAACACTTGCTCCTGTTTGTTTATCCCGATGTGGACATTGCTGGTAGTCCTGCTACCCCATCTACGATTTATCATTCAGCCATACAATCTCAAAACTCATATTCTGAGTATAAAGGAATAAAATTGCATGGACTAGAATACAGTTAGGATTTAAAGCCAATTATTTTCACAGTTATCAAAATAATTTATTACTGCTTGTATATTTTCTGCGATTCCGAAGAACAAAACTATAAAAAATGTTTGTTAGCATGGGGGAGGGGAGACAAGAAACCTCAACTAAAATGAAATTCAAAACCATAAAAATGTTATATACACATTTATTCATTCACCAACATACGTAGAAACATAATATATATATATATAACCATTCTGTTATATAACCATTCTGTTATCCTTCTGCATACGCATATTGAAAAAGTATTGTTGTTTATATCGGTTTGTTTCAAAGAATGAAAGAAAGCAAGGGCAAAGAATAAAACATGAAATCGAAGCAACCAATCATCATCTTATCTATTTGGGTTCTCAAGTTTGAAGGCGAATGTGTGCCTTTTGCAAAGTGCTAACAATGTATTATTGTCTGTGAAGTTCATAAACTTATTATGCGACTGACAGTTACCCCACAAATCAGCCTACATAATACATAAGTACATGGGTATGTAAGTATGAATGTCTGTGTGAATGGATATTGAATGCGGTTTATGGTTGTTAGATATGTAAAGCAAAAGCCCTGTGTGTATGTGTGCCTTATTATTACTATTTTCAATTTAGATATACAATCATATTTAGTAGTTTTTTGTTTGTTCTAATTTAGTTCGTTTTTTTTTTAATATCGTAAATCATTTAGCTGGCCATTCATAGCCTCTTATTATGTATTGTGTGCAATACAGTTCTTTTCTTTCTCTATACTTCACAATGAATGACTCTTGCAGTTGCCGCAAGGGCAATTGGTCTCTGTCTCTCTCACTACGTGAGATAAGAGCTTAAAAGCAATTAATATAAAATGGAAAACGATTAAAATTTAAATTGTTATTAAACACAAAAGTAAACATTGCCAGACATACTTCATATTTATAGACACTCACACACACACACAAACAGTCACAGTATGCACAGACATACACATTCCATGACTAGTATACTCTCCACACAAAGGCTTTTCCCCAAACCAACGGCCAAAGCATACCGATAGCAATGTATCGCTTTTCCAACCATCCAACCGTCCGTACGTCCGTCCATCCATCAGACCAAAAATAAATATTTGTTTTGCTTTATGTTTTATATTAAATATGTTTCAATGTGGCGGCAAGTTGCTATGTGTAAGTGTTGTGCAAAAAACACACATACACACACAACTACATTGAACTGTACATTAGGTGTAGGACATTTTCTGCAAAATACATTATTTTGTAATGTAATGTAAAAATGTCGATTAATTCGGTAATTAAAAAATAAGACTAGAATGTTGAGTCTTTCCTTTTGAGGTAACCTGAACGCTAAAATGTTATTTTCGACTATAACCATATACTCAGTCCATTAAAAATGATCGTTAGACAGTATAAATCCCAGAATATATTGTTTCCACTTTTCTAAAAGGGTGTTATTGTCCCAAACTGTCATAATATTGTCAGTGTGGAGACGGTAACCATTTTTACATTATTCCCATTAAAAATGTGTTTCAGAGGCCTCTTATACACTAATACATCAGATAGAGAAAATGCATTTAAGATTTTAATATCACATTTGTCATAATTTGTCACAACCAACAAAAAAATTAAATTCAATTAAATAATTTGTAAAGCTCTTAAATTGTTATCTCATTTTTTAATTCAGTTTTGTATTTAAAGAGTTGATAAGACTATGTATAAATTTAATTTAGAGTTGTGAGTGTTTTAGTTGCATAGTTTCAAATTTATCTAGTGTATCACGATAGCCTCTAGGATATGGCCCACCATTTTTTTTATTGCCATTGACATTACGCCGTAAGTGCAATTCCTATTTAAAGTTCCTGACGACGCGGCTTGGTCGTCTCGTGGCTAGTGTTATGTAAACAACGTTTCGATGAAGGTGCTAATTTAGTATGCACCCGTTGTGCAGTGTACACAACACAGCCAGGCCTAACACGTGTCACATGTATCTTCTATGTGTTCTCTGCCTGCAAAAATCCAATAATTTTTCCCAAACTCACATCCTACCGCCTTGTTGTTGGCCGAACATAAATATCATCGGCAGCGTGGAACTGGAGTATGGAGTCATTTGCCTCATTATTCATGTCCCTATAAACATGCCTGTTATTGTGTGCGTTTACGTGTGTACTGTATGCGTGTTTGTTTGGGGTTTACATGATAATACCATGCAGAAGACCGTTACACAAACAACCATGGGAGTGACAGTGCACCAAATGTAAACAGGACACACGAAATTCCTGTTTTTGGGCTTTATGACGTAAACATCAACATGATACAATGTCATGCGGAGCCCATGATTGCTATTGTCATGGAAATCGAATGCACTGAAAGAAATGTATGGCCGATTAATGAGAAAGTGTTGACGAATTTGCATCGTTGGCCAAGACCGCCCACAATTTATGTTGGACAGAAAACAATTTTCTACATAAATAACTTAAATTAATTGCGTTCATAAAATATTATTATTATTATTTGTATTTGTATTTTGAATTTATGATTGTACACTTTGCCACATGAATTTTACGCCAAACTCAAGATGGATGGACAGATGAATGTGCAGACATTTGCCTCAGTACAAGAAAACCAGACGGACGTAAGCAACGAGCATAAGTGATGTTCACCTTCACTTGCCAACAATTCCTATGCAATAAATTTTAAACTAAACAAAATCGTAAACTTCACCAAATGTTCCGGACAAATCACGAAGAGAACGCATTTCTTCATAACTTTTATTTTTAAAACCACCGAAGTTAGCTAGGCGAAGGGAAGAGAAGGGAGATGATTTATGACAATTGGGGCACAAACGTAGCTAACGAATTGAAATTGAATTATGTACACAGGCAGAGAGGGGGGCGCCACATTTTGTTGCAAGACTTGTTAGTGAAGGGAGATAAGTAAAACAAGGCCAAATGGCCAACTCCCGTAGCCATAATTTCTTGATAATTATGTTGGCCACGGGCAGATAACTTCATGGGCCATAAATGAAATTAAAAGGACCATAAAAGTGACAGCTATTTAAATTTATGTAATACTAAGACTCCTTTTGGCAAATTTCGCTTACGTTCTCCTTTCTTTTTTCCATAGACTTGCTATGAATTGGAACGTTATCTGCGTGACGAACCCAAGCTGCAGTCCTACAAGAAACTACACAGCGAGATTGATTCATGGGAAATATTCTCCTCTCCAGCTCGCATTCTGGAGGAGCTCAAGATAAAGGAACAGCATTTGGACTCCATCTCAACCACTTCCTCCGTGTCATCGCATTGTTCCGGCATTTCATGGGACAGTGCAGGTTCACAATCGTTGAGTTGTTCGGTGGTGGTTAAGAAGGAACGCATCGATGATGACGACGAAGATGAGGCTTTAAATTCCGACAATGGCGAAGATAAAATTATGTTGGGCCAGTTACCGCCATCCAGTGAATTGACACAATCTGCGTTGCAAGCTCTGAGCACGAAGCAAATGTTGAGTAGTTCGAGCTCGACGATCACCACCACTACCACCGCTGTTACACAACAATGCCCGCTAACGGAAAAGGCCATAAAACTGCGTGTTTTGGCCACCAAGCACGGCGGCCACCTAAGTCCTCAAAGTGCCAGCCATACCAATAACCACGACTACGCTCTGCCCACCCTGACACCTCCCTCATCGCCGGAATCCATACGCACGAATATCTCATCTACCAGCTGCCAAACTGCCCAAATTGACGCAAGTGAGCTAGCTGCTCTCATACAACAACAACAGAAGCAACAACGTCAGCAACAACAGCAATCATCGCAACAACAATCCCATGTGCCACCTGCAACTGCCATCTTACGTTTCCCTTCGAATCCCACTGCATGCACTACAGTTCCTTTGCTACAACAGCAGCCGCAACAGCAGTCCCATAACGTACAACAACAGCAGCAGAACAAGAAGCAACAACCTCATTCGAACCCCAGCTCCACGCCGTCGCAATCAACTGCATCTGCCGGTCACCATCATTTGACAATTCAAGCCACGAGTAGCGCTGCCAATGCGGACTCTCAGGGAGTTAGTACACAGCTGACGGCAATACACAGCAGCAATAGCAGCAACACGGCCACCCCGAACACAAGCAACATTCCACGCAGCACGATTGTACGCCTGACAACGAGTAACGGACAAAAGAGCGGTGGTATCAGTTTGGCGCGGGTCATACAGATGCAAAGCGGCAACAGCGGGACTTTATCAGCAGCCGCTGCGGCCCTCCTAAATTCAGCGCAAGCGGCGGCGGCCGCTGCTGCAGCAGCATCCAACGGCAATGTCTCGGCTGTGGGGAATATCAATGGCTTGACAGCAGCGCAGATTACCCAAAGGGGCACCCAACTGCAGAATCCTCAAGTGACAACATGTAAGTTGTATGCCAATAAAAACAATATTATGTTGACTCACCAGACACACACACACTGTCTCGTTCACTGGGCGAGTGTGTTTGAGTCACGCCTGAGTTTAATTGTCCTCGTCATCATCATAATCAACCATAAAAATGAATTTACTTTTATTTATCTGCTTTTGTTCTGATTACAGTGACCACAAAACCTCATCAACGTCAACAACAGCAACATCACCTCCAACAACAACAACAACAACAGCAGCAACAACAACAAACAGCCTCACATCAGCAGCAACCGCAACAGCATCATCAACAGGAACAACAACAACAGCAACAAATCCTCTTACAACATGAACACAGTCCTGACGCCAAACGCCGGATACACAAGTGCCAGTTTTTGGGTTGCAAGAAAGTCTATACAAAAAGTTCACACTTAAAGGCGCACCAAAGGACCCATACCGGTAAGTGTGTTGCTGGCAGCAGCAACATTTATTTCTATCCTATTCTTAGAAGGTCCCCTGCCACTCTCCATTGTCTGTCGACGATTATTCGATTTGACCACCTTCCTAAAACAATACCAGCGATGAAGAACCACTTAAATACACGTGTATTATATGTATATATAGTTGGGTATGTTCACATACACACGTATATATATAAAAAAACAATAGACAAATTAATCATTTTGTTTGTAATTTACACTGGGACAGATATAAATGAATGCTGGTGGAAGAGGATGAATTAACGACATTCAGTATTACAATAAAAATAAATTAATATCTTACATTTGTACATTCTGAAAATTAGAACGAATTAGAATCTGCATTCCACTTCAGATTGGAATTTCAAAGACATCTTCTGTGATTACAAATCAACGCTGATCGCTAAAATTTCTTTCAGAATGAGGCAGCCAGCGGTCTAACCAGCTTTGTCTGGAATTGGGTTTCCTGTATTCCTGCCGATGGCATTGTAAAACCATCTCCTAATTGTGTCTAATTTTTTTAGCGAAACCCCTACAGATGACAATATTTTTCTATAATTTGTGTGACAGAAATACAAACGTTTCCGTTATTTTTCATTCCTGCTCCTCTTTTGATACTTGTGTGATTTACGCCAGCAAAAGGGACACATACACAAAAGAAACGCACATTGTACTGCTCCTTGGGTGGAAAACTGCTGCGGCCTATTTTGTGTTTTCCTTTTCCGACTAAAAGAGAATCTGGCGAATAGCCCTCTAGCTATGAATTCATTTGAAAAAATAAGCAAAATATTCCCTTTTGTGTAACTTGTACGATTTTTTTTTTTTCATTTCGCCTTACATTTCAGTGAGTATTTTGACAGCAGTCCCCTGTTCCGAGCTGTGCTCGCTGCAGTATGTGACAGAAAATAGGCTGCTGGCGGAATTTGTGGAATGAAGTTTCTGCTTCAAACCTAATCTCTTCATTCGCTGTGCACGAATAATAAGGAAAGAGAGAATTGAAGAAAGAATGTAATTGGAGCCTAAGTGTGTCTGTATGTGAGTGTTGGTATGAGACTACTAACGGAAACGTAAATTCGCCAAATCACGCAAATGTCACTCAGATTTAAGACACATTTATTATAATTTGGGGATAGATATTCCTACTCCGCAATCCACTAACAACTGTATGTATATATATATATGTCTCCTTATGCACACATACACACAGCTGAAGACTGCTGAAATGTCAGACACATTTGTTTCTTGCTTTGTTGAGATGAGGCTATATTCACTTTAGTAAATCTCTTCTTTTACTCTACTGCCTGTCTGTCTGTTTCCCTCTCTCCGACAGTTCGCCATGGTCCCACTGTTGTTTTGCCTACTGCTAGAGGCCATATTGCAAGATTTTTCACTTTGAGATAAGATTTCCTTTCGCAGCGCATATAACATAAATTAAAAGGAAAGAAACGACAAGCATTTGTCGCTGTCGTTTTGTGTAGCTTTCCTTGGATTTAAAGTCGATTGCTTTTGTTTCTATAATTTTCCCAAAAGAGAGAGATTAACTCTTGTCACATTACAAGACTGCCAGCGAATTCTTACCTGACTGGTCGTTACCCAGTCAACAGTCTATCAGGATGTTTATAATCAGCTTGGACTTATTTGAAATGAAGCACAAATTTTTGCTGGGTTGTAATCCCCATTTTGTGTTGGCTAAGAATAGAATCCTACAATTTTTTGAAAATGGAATAATTGGTTGTAATAAATTATCAGCTGCGACTTGCTGGCATGTCATATCAAACTGACTTATTTGATGATCTTGTAGGATTCTAATAAAACAGGAAAATAGCACGAAGCCCAGATATATACTACCAAAATAATTTGTATCACACACCTTCTTCTGGCACAATCACTGAGTATGAAAATCTAAATTGTCTAAAGACAAAAAGGATTTCAATAGCCAATTTGTTTACATAAACTATGTGGGTTGCTTAAACGAAAGCCACAAGCATGCCGATGCCTACAATTATCCACCTACACCAAAGCGTTTGCAGATGGCGTTCAACGGTGAGGTGTTAATTTGTTCAAACCCTTTTTTATTGTCCAAAGTTTTCCATTGCTGTCCTGTGTTTACTGCGGTATTAGGTCGTAATAGCGGTGGTTTGTTTTGACGTTTATTGTTCGAATCCGCTTCATGATTCACAAGGTATTGAGCCACACAATTTCCATCCACCGGCATAGCATTTGATTTCGTGTTATTTATAGCCTTGAATTGTGTTAATAGGTTATTGTTTGTTAAATATCCGATTACCTTCCACTGCCGAGACCTAATAATGTTACTAAATGTATCTTTAGGCAGTGTATTAAGAGAATGCGATTTTAGCCGATATATTTTACAAGAGTAACTTATTAATTGATTGGATACATTGTGTGATGGTAATTTTCCTTATATCTAACTTGCAATTTTAAATCTGTTGGTATAATCTATATGCATAGAACTTATATGGATAGAGAAACAAGAGACGAAACAACACATTTGTGTGTTAAATGTGTTAAAATGATCATTCGTATGGTTGGCTAATTAAATTGTGCATCTCAGCTGCACAGCATTGCTTTAATCTATCGCAATTGCGATAAAATTTAACATTTGGAACATGGTTACTACTAATAGCAGCTCATGCCAATAATTTATATTCCCTAAAGCCCTATGTTCGAACAGTTTGATTCTGCATTCCCGATTGAAACGAGGTCAATTTTTGTGGTTTGGTTGTTGTTTGTCTTTTATCGTTTCCTTGGCTTTTGCAATTGTGGTGATTGCTTTATTTTTTAAGGTTTGGGATATGTCTGCCAAGCAGTGACGTTGGCAAATAAAATACCAGAAGAAAAGGAAACCCGAATGAGGTTAAACCCATAAAATAGCTGAAAATATAAAACGCCATTCAGTAAACTAGTGTAGACGAAAGAAACAGCAAAGAAAAAAAATCTCAGCCATACAATATACTTCAGCCCGTACATAGATATAAATGTACTTATCTGTAATGTGTGTGACTGTGTGTGTTTTTATGTACAATACTCATTTAAAGAGAAAGTCGAAAGCAGACACGCACATAAAAATGGCGACAATCTGAAATCGACCCACATAATCATGGAGTTGTTGTTATTACTGTTACAACTGAAACCTCTTCCCTTCGTCCATACATTGGGCCGATCTCTGCCAACAATAACAAGGACTTCCGCAAAAATGCACTAACAGTCGCACCATTAAAAGCCGTTGGTTTCTGCTACTATTTTTGCTACGATGAAACAGCTTAGATATGCTCGGAAACAGATACAAGATAGAAGCTACTAATTCATGCTCGTTTGCCACACATAAAATGTCTATGCAGACATTTTTAATAAACGACTACTGCTAGGATGACGACGAGGATTTTCTTCAGGCGGATGTAAACGCAGTACATAACCGATCGAAGGTAATTTATGGCTTAAGTCGTAGATAAAACCTCAGCAGTTAGAGTAACATGATGATGCATCAATAGTGGATTACACACGAACTCACTCACACGCACACACAGCCACACATACTGGTTTGGTGAATGCATCAATACATGTACTCGTATGTTGTATAGTTTTGCTTTGACAACCTTAACGAGCTTCCAACTCATCGAAAGAGAACAACGTGGGAGGTGGGAGAAGAGCTCAAAATATATTCGCACCCCCAGTGACCCCATCACGTTGCTGTTTGCTGCCGTAGAACGGCAATAGTGTTGACCTGTGAATTTGTCTTTGCTTCCTGCTTCGAGAAATATCCAGCAATTTATCTAGCAATCATATCATTTTTCATTTTCGAATTTGATGTATTTTTTATTCATCAATAAGCAAAAAGGATGCACACAAAGCATCAAGAATTATCAATATCTATATGTTGGGCATTGAATGTACATTTTTAACTAACCATAAAATCGGATGGGGCTCCAGGAGAGTTTATATATATGTATATATATTAGTATAGTTAAAATACGAATACGAATGTGTAAACAGTATAGAAATGAAAGTAAGGATACATGAGGCAAATTTACAGCTGGTCAATGGTGCCGACATATGATAACTTCTGCAGATGATGACAGAGAGATTTTTGTGTGTTGTTTTAAAAGGCAAGGCAGCTTCATTTTTAAAGCATTTCTATATTAGTTTAAGAAGTAAATTTTTCTTAAACAATTTGATTTCCCACTGACCATTTCATCCATTATTTACTTATTATCTGTTTTCTCTGCATTGACAAGTGCGACGCAAATGACAAGTGCGCTTGTAATGCCATACTTTTAAATATTTAATCCCTGCTGTCATCTGTAGGGTATTACAGCGAAGATACTCTGCCAGCGGAGGATGCAAAGTTTTATTGTTTGTCGCCTATTTTGCACAAAGATTAAAAGGAATTTTTAATTTTGCTTCTATTAGTTCAGCTTGACAAAGTCGCAAATGAAATCAATTTATACTTTTGTGTTCTCATTTCCTTTTTGGAGGAGAAAATTAAAATGCTTGTGCTGTTCCGCTTTCTGGTAGCCATTAAAAAGTTTTTAATTACCCTTTAACCAATTACAAAATAGCTTAAAGTGCTTGTTTTTCCCTAGCTTTTTCCCCTTGGCTAAAGGTTTCGGCTTGTAGTAGAGGCCAACAGCGAATTACCATTAATGTACAGACCACAAAATACCCTTTGCAGTCCTCGCTAATAGAATAGAGTGGTGGGGTACAACTCCAAAAATAATTTAAAGGAGAGATGATTTTAACGGTTCTTAGCAAATAATTTACAATATCGAAGCAATAACAACAAACTCATACGCTTGCAAAAAAGAGGTACACCACGAATACATTCATAATCTGAACTATTTGTTATTTTACATTGCTTTCGTATCCGCTCGCCTACACTTGTTCGAAACAATTTTCATTACCTTGTAGGTAGGAAAAACAAATGTAATTGTGTTGTTGCAAGGCAAGTCCAACAATGCAATAAATTAAATTGCACAGCATTTCTTCTGTGTCAGTTACATCTGCATAAACAAGTGAACAAGCTGCCCCTCAACTAAACGTGTATTAAAGCGAATTAAAAGTATGTTACTTGCTGCTTCACAAGGAAAAAGTAAAATATAACTCGACAACAACAAAACTATTTTTGCTCTGAATATTGGTGTAGGCAAAAAATGCTATAAGTATATTTTATTATAGACCAAGGGATTGTTAGAATAGCAGTTGCACCGCGAATATTACGCTGGCCGAAAATAATAATAGTGCTTGCAATTGTATTTCTGTTGGCTATGTTGAAGTACTGTAATAGTTTGTCTTCAGCGTCTGTGGAACACCACGAATGTTGCGCCAATAGGAAATAGTCAACACATTTGAATGTTTAATGCTAGCATTAATTCATTTCACACATTTAAAAATATATCTATCAATTATAAAAAATAATAATAATAAAATATTACTTTTTTCTTTTTCCGCATTATTTTCAGGCGAAAAACCATACAAGTGTTCGTGGGAAGGCTGTGAATGGCGATTTGCCCGCAGTGATGAATTGACCCGCCACTATCGTAAACACACTGGAGCTAAACCATTTAAGTGCCGTAATTGTGATCGCTGCTTTTCACGTTCCGACCATTTGGCATTGCACATGAAACGTCATATGTAGACAGTGCTGACAGACAGTCGCATCGCCGTATTTGACAACTCTTCCACCCCCGCTATGACAACCATCACAAATGGAAATATGACCGACGGTGATGTTCCAACACTTCAATGGCAACAACAACAGCAGCAACAACAAAGCGTAAATGAAAGCAGTGCAAAATTCCTGGAAATTTATAAAACTGTTATGTTATAAGAATTACTTTAAGGCATATTTATATATATATTATAAATATACATGTATTTAGTACAGACATGCAAAAATGTTATAGAATATGTCTACTAAGTGTAAGTATCAAAAGCAAAACACGTAAGAAGAAATCAACTGGTGTACAAATCAAGAACCTACAATACACCCCTTTTCCCCCAAGAATAGGATATCGAAGCAACCAATGTATGAATCAAGTAAAAGAAAATTAATTTAAGCATTACATGTGCCATCATCAGCATCAACAACAACAACAACAAGAACAACACACTCTCTCATTGTATCGATGAAAGCTCTAAGAAAGCAAACCGAATCAAATGATGAATTTCATAAGAGAATTAACTGAAAATCGACGAATAAAAAGTTTTGGACGCACAGTGGGCTATAAAGCATTTTTTCTGCTACTTTTATATTGTTTTACACATTCTTCCGTGTAAAGTTTAGAGTTTTTAGAATATTAGTTTTTTTTTGTTGTATTGTGTGACCCACTGTGCCTCTGTTATTAACTTGTCAAAGTTAAAGTAAAAAACTAGAAAAAACAACAACTTTTCTCTGAGAATGACAACAATTGTTATGTTAGAACACAGAACAAATCAAATTCTTTTTACCAAAGTAAAGCAATTAATAATTTTATTTTTTATACATAAACAAACACTCACACTCTTATTTTTTAAATACTTTAGTCTAATTGTTTTTTATTATTATTGTAATATTTTGTCAAAATTTTATATTTTTACAAGTAAAAACTAAAACTAGAAAAACATAAATGGTGTAAATGCTAAACACTGCCAAAAATACAAAAAATACAAAAAAAAAATAAAATGTAATTCTGAAAAACACGATTTTTATATTCCTAAGAAAGAACAAAAATTGTATTACCTTTTAAATTTGTTTATTTTTATATTAAAAATGTTCAAGTGCAAATAATCAAGAATGTTTCAAACATTTGTGTTATCGATATAAATATTACACCTAAATACATAACTAATATTATATAGTTTTTAAAGTTTAAGAACACACTCACATACACACACACGCATACATGCATATATATAATTTATTGATTTGTTGATCAAATTATAATCGTTTAATTTATACAAATGAAATTTCTTTTTCGAAAGCAAGCCCCTATTATTCATTCGACAATGTCTCTTCACTTCTTATACATAATTTTATTTTTTGTTTTTATAATTTTCGGTTTACTGATAAAACGACAGAACAACTTTAGATGTCAATCTTAGTCATTGTCTGTTTGTTCTATTAAAATTGCAAGTATTATCACACACACACACACACACACACAACGATCCCCTTACCCTCCTTTTCCATTTGAAAATTAAACGAAATTACAATGTTTACAACAAAAACAAAGCAAAACAAAATCGATTAAAAAAGTGGTTGTGCAAATCTAGATCATCATCACACTCACTCTCGACTCATTTCGAAACCACAAAAAAAAACAACAACAATGTTTGTTAATCATTAGTCAACAATTTTTACTCAAAATCTAAATATAATTTTTAAATTTGTGAACATAAACACCCACACACACTCGTCATTAGCAATTGAAAGTATTGTAGTTTTCTTTTTATTAATAATATTACAGTTATTTTTTTTATTATTATTATTATTTTTTAAATTTATCTTATGGAATTCCGTTAAAACCTTTAACAAAACAACACTCTGTGCATTTGAGTCATTTTGATTTGCATTTCCCCTGAATTGTATTCTTCCCCTCCCTTCCTTAAATGTTAAGTCTAATTTTATTTCCTTGATTTGAATCGAAAAGATACCATGCTTACATCTTCTTTAGTTGCATAAATTATATTATTTTTTGTAATTCTATTATTACTTTTTTTAAATAAATGCTTTAATAAAACGTACAAAATAACATTTGCATTCACATTTCTCATTTATTACATGCCAATTTTTTCATTGGGTTCTTGGCAAAGCGTGTACAAAGATGCTCTTCCACCAATGGCCTTGGACATGAATTTTAATTGTTTGTTGATAGATATGTGCACTATTGCAGACATGGGTAGAGGGATAAGGATAATGACAAAAAATTACCAGGAACCAGCAATTCTTCGAATTATGTAATGTCTTATATATAATGGTCTGATTTTGCCGCTCAAAAAATTATAAAGAAATTTTTTACTAAGCCTGTATATTGTTGGAAGATGGGACTAGATCTCCCCCACAGAGTCACAACATTTTTATAAATCAATAATAAGTTAATTTGACTCAAACTTTACATTTAATATTTTTATCAATCCTAGATCAAGTTCCATACCATCTGGTCAAAATTTTGAAAACTTTTTAATCCAAAACATTTGTATGGAATGTCCGACTTTATACAATATGTGCACGTCGTAATATTTCTTTCAAAATTAAATCAATTTCGTAGATGGTACCCATGGGTCCATTCCTTTTGGTACCTTCCACATAATGAAATATACTTTATAGGAAACATCAGTTATGTTTATAGGTGGCTACTTTTTAAATGATCTATTATTTGTGTGGGCTAGAGCACAAGCTGCCCAAATCGACTATACAGAATTGTTCACATTAAAAAAACAGTCGGGATCTTAACTGAACTTTAACATAATGTTTATTTTCTTTTATTTAAAATATGTATATGTATGTATATGCAGTAAAACTTTTAAATCCTCACTAACCATTTTTGCAAAATTTATGAAAATCGGTTGAGTATTCTATAAGTTATTTGTATTTGACTTCAACGATGTTCGAAATGTACCTAATGTTCTGTTCAGGACGCCTATTCCCTTAAAATGAAAAATCACACAAAAATCTGTCTTAAAGAATGTATGTAAAGGTATGTTTCATTAAATTTGTGAATAAAAACAATCACAGCTATAATTTTCGCTACAAACTAGCTGCCATTATTAAAGAAAAAAAATCCGTTTCCAAAAAATCAATTTGTGGTGGTTTTTTCATTTTCAACTAATAGGTGCCCAGCACCGAACAGTATGTCTATTTCGGAACATCGTTGAATTCAAATGTAAATAACTCAGTGACTACTTAAGCGATTTTCATAAATTTTGCAATAATGGTTCGAGGGAATTCTAAAGATTTATTCCATTATGTTAATTGTAAACAAAATTTAGCAAAGCTTTTTGAAGTGTGTCTAGAATGACGCATCTTATTATTGGTTAGCCATGTTTTTTTTACAATCAGACTAATGACTATTGAGAATATACACACTTTGCTACGGCAAAAATATGTCCAATGGAAATATTGGTTTAGGCCCCATGCTTCATTGGACCAAATCCGTTTCAGACAATTTGGAGTCGATTTACAAACGTCCGTACGTTCGTCTTTCTTTGTGGCTGTCTGACTGGCTGGTTGGTACCTCCTGGTGACAAGTTCGAAGTTGCTACCTCCCCCACAAGTGGTCAACATTTTACCAACCTTTGAATTAAATTTGAATCGAATTAGTTTATCGTATGGCCAACTCCTTAATAAAAAAAAAAATACATCTTTTATACAACGAACAATAAAACCTGTGTATAATATCGTAGAACTCCGCAGTCAATACGCTGAGGGTATATATCTGTCGGCAACACCGACTGACTGATCGACTGGTTTACTTGTTTTAATTTCCCAAAACACAAAAGTGTTTCCTAAAAATTCTTCAATATGATTTCACATTTGAAACTACATTCATAGATTTGTTATTTAAATGCTACACATTGTGCAATTATTTTAGGTTTTTTTAAACTTTTGCACTTAAACAGTGAATTGCATTTCTTTCGGGATATTATACAAGTGCACACTTTACAACAGCAATTTATCCACAAAGACCACACACTCTCGTACATTTCTCACAATTCAATGTTTATTTGGAATTCATCTCCAAGCCACTAATCATCACAACGTGCAGTGAGTGATGTGTGATCGAAAAACAAAATGAAAATACATAAAATAAAATTCTGTGATCCAGCATTTGAGTAAAAATATGTATAATATAAACGTAAATAAAGTAAAATACAAACATACTATTAATTAGTTAATAAATAACGAAATCCGAAAACTATGTTTGTATTATTGTTTAGGAGAAATGTCATACTTTTTATTTCATTTATTAGCACTGCTTTATGAGTTTCTATTAGATTCTTTTTTTATGCATAAAAAAGAGCAAAAAGTTATTAGCTGAAGCTAAGCGTAGTTTACAAAAACACAATACAATTTTGGCACAAAGCTTTTTTTGAAGCCAAATCAAATTTAGCAAAATTTTTTTTATTTTTATGTATAGTAATTATTTTGTAAAGCCCATCAAAATTGTTACATTAAATGTTTCCGAGAAATAAATGTATATTAAAAGAAATAAAAAAAAATCCATTCGTCGTAAAATCCCATTTGCTTATTAATGTCTAATAGATATCAAAACATACGTGTCCTTTACTTTGTATGCTTCATTGTATTTTTATTTTTTGTATTTGTAATTCCGTGTGCATTCGGTATGAAAAGTACAATGGCTGGTCATTGGCAATCGTTGACCAGTTACAAGTGGAAACAGAATGACTACCCAATTTGAATTCCAAAACCACTTCCAGTCTAAATTAGTTTGCTTCCAAAGCGGAAAGAATGTGCATTTTGCAAACATATATATTTTTTATCCATTTGAACGTAAAACAACTTCCAGAATTGTTAACACCCTAAATGAAAACTAACTAACATTATATCATACAAATTAATATAAAGAAATCAATAATTATGATTTTAGGCTCCCACCCTAAAATCTGCTATACGATGTGTCAAATAAATCAATCTCTTTAAGAAGAAATCGAATAAGATA